TTTGAAAGATACTCAAGTAAATGTAACTGAGTAAAAGTAACCAAGTACTACTACTGCAGCCCTTTGACATTATATACTATATGAGACTATTTTATTTTTCTGCGTGCTTGTAAATAGCAGCTCCAAAAGAAGTAGCGCGTGTGGGCGTCGTGACATTTCACCTTTTGTGTATCATGTCTTCACTTCCTCTGGTCTGTGGTGTCCTTCTGTGTTTGTCTCTGTCCCTCAGTGTGGACGCCCGAGAGGACAAAGGGAGGAAGGAGCGCGGTCCGCATCTGCACATGACATCAAACTGCGATTATTGTTCACAATAAAAACCAAAGAAAACCACCAAAACACTGACAATGAAGCAGGAAGTCCGCCATGCTAATATTGTGGTGAGCACCATTGTGATGAGAGTGTCGCAGAGGACGCTCAACACGACAGGATATGGGGTTAGGTGAAGATTTTTATAGGTCGTGTAATCGGACAAGAGAGATTCAGGATTTGCGATTTGTATTTTAATAATAATATGATTTTATTTAAAGTTCACATTTTAAAATCATCCATGAAAATTGACAAAAAGACTAACTAGAGCTGATACAAGAATCACATTTCAGCACTGGTGGAAGTAGTAAAATTCTGTAATTAAGTAGATTTTTTTGGCATCTGTAGTTTATCTGTAGTTACTTTTTCTTTTTTTTTTTTCTTTTTTTTTACAGTGGACACTTTTTACTCTCACTTTACTCCCTCACTTTTAAAAGCAGCCCTACATTTTTTAACTGGACTGAAAAGTAAAAATGACTTTTTAAAAGGGATGTAACGATATCCAAATCTCTGGGTTCGATATTATCACGATATGCATCTCACGATACGATGTTTTTTGCGAGATTTTGAAGAGGCTGATATAACTGTAGATAGGACACTTTTTTGCTTTTAAAATAGTTTAACAAGATTTTGGTGTGAATTATTACTGTAATAATCTCAAGAATTCAAGTCAAAAACATGTTTCTTCATGTTGTCTGTACTGAAATGAATCATGGGATATGGGGTTAGGTGAAGATTTTTATAGGTCGTGTAATCGGACAAGAGAGATTCAGGATTTGCAATTTGTATTTTAATGATAATAAGATTTTATTCAAAGTTCACATTTTAAAATCATCCATGAAAATTGACAAAAAGACTAACTAGAGCTGATACAAGAATCACATTTCAGCACTGGTGGAAGGAGTAAAATTCTGTAATTAAGTAGAATTTTTTGGCATCTAGTTACTTTTTTTTTAACAGTGGGTACTTTTTACTCTGACTTTACTACATTTGAAAGCAGGTACTGTACTTTCTACTGCCCTACATTTTTTTAACTGGACTGAAAAGTAAAAATGACTTTTTAATAATGATGTAACGATATCCAAATCTCTGGGTTCGATATTAGGATATTGTTACATTCCTACTTGAAATACGTGAAATACTTTTACTTTTTACTCTTCAAACCAGTACTTCAATACTTTCTACGATTTTTTCATGTAACGTTTTAACTTCATAATTTACTTTCAGTACTTTCATAACTTCAGAACATGTTTGTTTGGAGGACATTATGGTACTTTACTTCATCTGTAATCTAGTCCCTGTTTTCTGTGTCATTGTATAGTGAATTATAACAGTACAATAATAAAACATGTACTGGAGTTACATAATCAGAGTACAAATAATGAGTAACTGTATTCAGTTACAGTTACTGTTTCAGTGAGTGGTAATTGGATTACAGTTACTTTGTTGAAATAAATGGATTACAGGGCGGTGATTTCCTGTTTTCACATTTCGGGTTATATCCCCAGGTCTAAAGATCTAAACTAGATCTAAACCAGATCTAAACCAGGTCTAAAACCAGGTCTAAACTAGATCTAAACCAGATCTAAACCAGGTCTAAACCAGGTCTAAACCAGGTCTAAACCAGGTCTAAACCAGGTCTAAACCAGGATCTAAACCAGGTCTAAACCAGGTCTTAAACCAGGTCTAAAACCAGGTCTAAACTAGAACTAAACCAGATCTAAACCAGGTCTAAACCAGGTCTTAAACCAGGTCTAAACCAGGACAAAACCAGGACTAAAACCAGTTCTAAACTAGATTTAAACCAGATCCAAACCAGGTCTAAACCAGGACTAAACCAAGACTAAATCAGGATTTTAAAACAGGTTCAGATTTAACAGAAGACTAAACCAATGTAATGCTGTGCGGATCCGTGTTTTCATCTACATCATCAGTTCTACACCACATCAGCCTGGTTATAACACATATATATTTTTTATCACAAATTTTCAAATGACAGTTATTTTACCATGTTAAATCAAATTGCTACTGTAAACCAAAATATGTCTCTTTTTAAATCAATATCACTACATTTTAACAATTAACAGTATCGTGATATCGTATCGTCAAAAGTCTCACAGTAATATCGTGGGCTCTCACAATATATCAAATCACAAGTTCCTTTGTTTAAATGCGTGGAACTACATATCCCATGATTCATTTCAGGGCTATAACTGCAATGATTCACACTAAATTCTTGTCAATGTCTTTTAAAAGCAAAAAAGTCTCTCCAAAACATCACAATAAATATCGTCATCGTGATAATATCGTACTGAGAGATTTGGATATCGTTGCATCCCTACTTGAAACACGTGAAATACTTTTACTTTTTACTCTTAAAGTACATTTTCAAACCGGTACTTGAATACTTTTACGATTTTTTCATGTAACTTTTTAACTCTGTATTTGTACTTAAGTAAAATTGAGTACTTTCATAACTTCAGAACATGTTTGTACAAATGTAAACTACAGGGTTAGGAGATTTTTTTGTGGAGGACATTATGGTATTTCAAAATATTATCACTGAAGTAGAAGTACAAAGTAGTGGTCCAAGAAATCACTCAAGTAGAAAAAACATGGAAAATCTTACCTTCTTTATTCTGAGCATCCGAATCATTCACCACAATGAGTTTAGAAGAGAACAGAGAGGAGTTAAAAACAGCTAGCATGTTAATCACACACTTCCTAATTCTCAGAAATAAAACGCTTTATAATTAAGGTTGATGTAGTTGATGTGGGGTGACCTGATCTTGATCTAGTCTTAATCAGGACTGCCTTAGCTGGAGGAGTTGAATTATTGAGCATGTTTTGAGTTATGAAGGACTTATTTTGAGCTCAGGAGCTGCTTTTACAACAAATGTGCACTAGGCCAAGGCACATTTAGCTCAAATACATGAAAAATAAGGTACAGGTACAAGTACAGGTACTTTAACTGTATATTAACTATGAAGACAAAACTATAAATAATGCACAAAATCCAAAATGTTCAAAGATGGAGAGAAGAATGATAAAGCTGAGGGACACAGAGCGTGAGTAGAGCTGTAGAGGCACATTCACTCTGCCACCATCATGTCTGTGCACAGCGTCTAGATTAGAAATACGCCCACAGGTTCCTCTTTTGGCCATATAAACTGTGCAAGATCATGTTAAAATTGTGGCGTTGAAGCCCTTATACAAATTTAGAATACTGAGTGTGCGGTGTGTGATGGAAACGCTGTTACGAAGAGGTAATAAGAAGACACTGCAAAACTAGCAAGTCTATTGTGCACTTTTGCTTTTGTTAAAGCAGACTTTTCCCACAAAAACATTTTTTTTTTTCAGAAGTCGATTTGAAGTGATTTAAAATGCCCAAATGATAAGAGAATGATCCACAGAAGTGGGACATTATAACTACACAGCAGACACAACAGGTCTGCTTTACTGTAGTTCAGTCACTCTTTAACCCTTGAATCATTTACAGACACATTTTATTAAAGTTGTCGTAGATTGTAGAAAATATATATATATATATGTGTGTGTGTGTGTGTGTGTGTATATATATATATATATATATATTTTTTTTTTTTTTATCTGATTACTTTTATCAGAATATTATCAGAATATTAAAAACTATATTGAGAAAGAATATTACCCATATATAACGGAGTGGTCAGCTGCTCTTGTGGCTGCCTGGAGACTGTGCAAGAGACTAGCTCGGGAGCTAGAGAAGGAGGATGGACATTTGCGCTGCTCCAGGTGTCTTACACCATATGAGGCAGCAAATGTGTCAGAAGATCCTCAGAGGAAACACTCTGAGGGAATGAACTCAAGGGACTGTTAGATTGTTGCAAATGCTGCAACAGTTTGCTGCAGCAAAACTGGAATATCCCCTGAGATTAATAAAGTATCTGTGTGTATGTCTCATTTCAGTTCAACTGTTGTGTTCGATCCTCACCAGCTGCTACAAACCTCATCACTGTGTTTGTCATGCTAGTCAGTAGGGCTGTGCCAGTAATCCCACAAGTGGAGTGCCAGTAATCACATTTTAAATAAAATTCAGACTAAGATTAAGGGGAATACCCCATAGAAGTAAAACACCTCAAGACTTAAAGGTACAGTATGTAACTTTCCAGAGGTGGCATGTTAAAGCCGTACTTCAGAACATAAATATGATCTATGTCATACTTGCATAGAGTGTATAAAGAAGTGGACTAAGTGACATCACCCACAGCGTTCAGCTCCAGTCAAATGAAGCTCATGAGGCTAGCAGTTACAGGGTGAATTTGGAGCCGGGTTCCAAATTAGGAAAAGGAATTTTTAAAATTTACAGAAAGAACAGCAAAATATAAAGAGCAGGATCATGTAGAACAGGTTTGAAGAGGTTTTAGTGGGTTAACTATGTTCATTTAGATTTACACACTATACATACTATGGAACATGACAATCAAAGGAATGTTTCCATAGAAACAAGCAGGAAGAGGCCCTCCTCCAGGTCATCAGTAAGAGTTAGGTTTGTGGAGATGCAAGCCTGCTCACTGTTTCACAGTGCAATAAAAATAACAAACATGAAAATAAAAACATGTTTTTGTTGTAGTCACTTTTTTGGCTAAAAAGTTACATACTGTGGCTTTAACATGTACCTTCTCACCATGACACCAATAAAGTTCCATCTCATCTTTGAGCTTTCTGCCTTTTATTACTGCACGGCTCATACAAACATATGTCTTCACATTCTTCACATGGGGACATGTCCTACACACACGTCTCTGTGCAAAGGCTGGTCACATGATCATCTGCCCCACACACTGCCCCACTGTCCACAGAGGTCCATGTGAGGGGGCGGGGCAGAGAAGAGCCGACAGGAGCAGCACCTGACACAGATGCTCCTGCCATTCAATGTCATAGTGTCTAACTCATCATTAGGACTGTCTGTAAGCAAAAGGTTCAGATGTCTCCCAGGTTGTCGTAGATCAGGTCTGGTCTCCGCTCGGCTCTCTGCTGCTGCTGGCTGTAGCAGGAGCGCCTCTTGGACACTCTGCTGTACAGCTCCCCACTGCCCCCTGCCCTCACACTGTTGTTATTGTTCACATTGGAGAACTTTCCCGAGGGAGGGACGGGCTCTTTACGAGCACCACGAGCAGGTTTAGGAGCCGTGAGGGGTTTGGCCCACTTGGGCCCTTTGAGCAGGGCTCGGCCGGTGCCCATTGAGGGCGCAGTGGCCTCGTTATAAATAGTCTTTGGTAAAGTACTTTTGGCACAGCCCTCAGGTTCATCGTATATGTGCTCGTGCAGTACTGCCTCCTGACCTGCGGCGGTGCTCTTGGCTGCTCCGTTCAGGCTGAGCGCGCTGGTCTTGTGGCTCATGTCCATGGTGATGTGGTCATATACGTAGGAGTAGAGATCAGGAGTTGTGGAGGTGGAGGGGGCGGGGCCCTGAGCCTTGATGCTGTCCACAGGGTCAGAATATAGAGAGTCATTGGCCTGTAGGGGGCGCACACAGTCTGCAGGCTCAGAGTACAGCCCTGTCTGCTCATCGCCGCCCCCTGCTGCCCGACCGCGGGGAGAGCGGGGCGGAGTGCCCAACATGGCAGGCGTGTCTGGTAGGCCCCGCCCCTTCAGAGTATTTACTGTGGCCGCTTTAGCTCCTCCCTCTGCCCCCTCCCTGCGGCTCAGGACTCCATCAGCAGAGCCCGGTTTGCTCCCCCCTGAGTCCCCGTCGGCCTCTCTGCTGCTGGTGCTGCTGTTGTCCCCACTGCGCAGGAACGGTAGAGACGAGGGCCCCTCCTCTTGGTTACAGCTGAGCCGCCTCTCCTCAGCCAAAGCCTTTTGGGAGCGGATAGCCTGGTCCACCAGGGAGAAGATCTCGTTGCCCTGTTTGGTGTCAAAGGTGAAGTTTCCAGGCCCCGAGTCACAGCGACGGCCAGCCTCAAAGGAGAACATCACCTGCACAGCACACAGCAACACTGTCAAAGACTACACACGACAGCACAAGGACTACACACATCACAGACACTACACACATCACAGACACTACACACATCACAGACACTACACACATCACAGACACTACACACATCACAGACACTACACACATCACAGACACTACACACATCACAGACACTACACACATCACAGCACAGGAACAGTGTTGGGAAGAACCAAAATGAACACAGAGCATCAGAGGCACAGAGGAGCAGTTACGTTCTGAACACCTGAGTGTCCCACAGTGTGACACTTACAGTTTAGTAAAGACAAACTAGAGGCTTGAAATGCACCGATCCAGCTTTTTCAGTCCCAGTCCCAGAGCCTTAGGGACCTGCTGAGATCTCATATTTCTCATATTACTCATATGGTGAATTTAGCCCCAGCTGAATGAAATGATTAGCAGATGTAAAAAGGCTAACTTAAAATATATCTTTTACAATACTATAACAGATTTTGAATTTGTTGTAATTATGAATTATTTATAATGTGGTAAATAATGTATTAAAGTCCTCCACAGTACAACAGCTCCACGACAGAGTAGCAGAGGCATTATGTGATGTTTTATCTCAAAATTAGTTTTTCATTTTTAAGGCTCCATGACGACATCACAGAGGTAAAACAAACACTCTCTGTGTCATTAATCATGTTTTAGCATCTTAAGATCCTCCTCAGTTTGTGTTTAAGCTGCTCTGGATGTTAGCTGCAGTGACAGTGGCGTGCAGAGGGCCCTAAACACTACATCAGGTCTAGTCTACATCTGATCTATTCACCCAGTCCAATCCAAGACAACACTCTGCCTAGGCTCATACCGATATCACTATCAGATCAGTACATCCCTACTAGACACATGGAGACTCCAGATTTAAACTCAGGTGTGACTGAACACAGGGGCAGATGAGAAGCTGTGTGTGAGGAAGTGCGTGTGTAGATGGACCACCAACTAAATCTGAGATCACTGTCTATTCTAAGAACTTTAAGAAGACTTTATAAACAGACGAGCTGTAACTAAGAGCTAACTTCACTCTGTTCTAAATATGTCACAGATGTATATAAGTAGCTGTTTCAGACAAACCACATGAGTTCAGAGTCTGGGTTATTTCAGTCAGCGTCACTTCCCCTGTGAAGCTCCTCTGGTGCACTGCTGTGTGCTCTCACCTCATGATCATGTCCCTTTGCAAGAACAGACTCTGCTCTGTTGCCTGGCTTGCCTGGAAAGTACTGCAGTATGGCATTGTGGCATTGCTATCTCTCTATGAGGCTAAGCAAGTGACAGCACACAGTCAAGTTACCAGTCAGATCTGTGAAATGGCATCCCACTTATAGCGAAAATTCATATTTTTCAAGGTACAATAAAATAAAAAGGTACAATAAAAATTACACACAGAAAAAACTCTGGTCCACCTTATGACGACATGCTCCACATGCACAAAGTGCTTTTAAGCTCCACACACCTTCATTGGAGTCATTTGGATAATTTCAGCGCTGAAATTGCCAATCTCCACTGCACTAAAGTTAAAGGTGCTGTTAACTTGTAAACCACCACTACATGACATCACAAGGTGAGGCAGAGCATTTAGAGCTTTGCAAATGTAGGATTACTCAAACATGTATGAATGAAACAACTCCAGGTCCGTTTTTGAGGAGGTAAGCGCATTCTAACATGGCTTAAAACTCATAAGAGTCAATTTTGTGTCATATAGGAGTTTTAAAAAGCCTTTTCCTTAGTATTGAAATGAAAACAGTCACATTATGGTCAAGTAAATGAAATCTCCTCCTTTGTCATACACATGATTAGACACGTGCACACTCACCCGGTCTCGGCCATATCTCCTGAGCAGCTTGTAGGGCCACACTTGGACGGTCCTCTTGGTCTTTGGCTCCTTCAGGATCAGGACATCGCTTTCGGCTTTGAGCCAATAGCTGCCGGCCAGTCCACAGCGCTCTGAGGCCTCTGTGCGCTGGACACTCACCCAGAACTCATCCACTGCAACACCACATGGAAGAATCAGACACAACACTCTGGAACTGCTTTGAAACATTTAAGTAGTAGCAGCAGTAGCAGTAACAGTAGTAGTAGCAGTAGCAGTAACAGTAGTAGTAGCAGCAGAAGCAGTAACAGTAGTAGCAGCAGTAGCAGTAACAGTAGTAGTAGCAGTAGTAGTAATAGTAGTAGCAGTAGCAGTAACAGTAGTAGTAGCAGTAGTAGTAGTAGTAGTAGTAGTAGTAGTAGTAGCAGTAGTAGTAGTAGTAGCAGTAGTAGTAGCAATAGTAGTAGCAGTAGTAGTAGTAGTAGTAGTAGTAGTAGTAATAGTAGTAGTAGTAGTAGCAGTAGTAATAGTAGTAGTAGTAGTAGTAGCAGTAGCAGTAGTAGTAGCAGTATAATGTAAATAAATGGGCAAACATGTCCAGTGTTTTTGTGCTTAAAGTTGAAGTATTTGACTTGTATGGGATATTAACAGTTAACACATCACATATTTAGATCACCATGTTGCCTTTTATTGTTTCAAAAATGCTATATTCACCCAAAAATTTCTTTTATAAGTTTAATTTTCGTTCGTGACACTGTCTTCCCTCCCTTTGCCCTCTACACTAAGACTACGTTCAGACTGCAGCCTGAAGTGACCCAAATCTGATTTTTTGGCCCCTGTGCTCCTGTATCTGATCTTTTAATGTCAGTCTGAACGACACAGATCAATTTTTTTCAAAAGTGACCCAGGCCACTTGGATATGTGCTCCTAAAACCGATACATATCTGATCTTTTGACATGTGACTTCAGTGTGAACAGCCAGGTCACACTCACCCCACCTACACATCAGACTCAGAGTCTAGTTAACGGAGGGAAAGCGCGGTTAGCGAGTTATTAATATTTAGGAGGATCGCTGTATTCAGACCAAATTGGAGGGGTCTTATCAGAACCGGGCGGTTTCTTAAATGATTGCAAAGGAAATGTCCGCGCGAAGCTACAGACGATCCTGCCTCAAATGAAGCGGCCGTGGACGTGTAACCTGTCCATTTTCCCAAGACCTGGACCGTATTTTAGGAGACAAGCTCAGCGTTTAGGCGACTGAGCACGCTCGCTGTGTGTGACGTCGTCGTGTTCTCCAATGCGCATGCGGGACACTTTTTGGGTGTTTAAAGTTCACGCTGGAGATCACATACAAGTCACATTTAATTGGAAATGTGGACAACCTCACAAAAAAATCGGATTTCACAAAAAATCTAAATTAAGCCCTACAGTCTGAACGTAGCCTAAGTCACTCCCCCTTCAGAGAGACGTCACAACATAATAAGCTCGCATCCGGCTGCTGAACCTACTGCACAATCACATTAGGTTTGTCAGGTTGTTGTCTATTGCACAGAATCATGCAGCTAACCGTAAGGAGGGTTAGGGCCCAGGAGAGATCACTAAATGAGTCAAACATGCATGGATGACATCTCAAATCTTCAAACCTCAAAACTTCAGACATGTTTTTGTTGAGGGAAAAATGTTATAACATGGTAGAAAGCTCAAGAAAAATCTGCATTACAATTGTTCCCGGGTAAGAGCAATACTTACTTTGAACATGTTTACTTCATAACTGAGGATAGATCACGTTTAAAATGTAATATCAAAATCTAAGGAATCTACACTTCCATTAAGGTGAGAGTTAAATAATTGTGATTAAAGAGAAGGTTTTATGCATTTTTTTTTTTTAAGCTTTCTAACATGTTATAATGTTGTTCCCTCATCCAAAACAAGTCTGAAGAGGTTTTAGATGTCATCCATGCATGTCTGAGTGATTTAGCAGGCACTATTTGAACCCTCCTTGCAGCCCACCCACAAGCCTACATCACCCATGCTCCCACACAACAATTCTCCATAAATACACAAAAATATGATATAAAACTGTATTCAGCGACTTGACAAACCTGATGTGATGTGCAGTAGTTTCATTAGTGGGATGCTAATTGCTAATTGATATAGCATTTCCAAAACAATAAAAGGTAACACACTCATCTAAATATGTGTGTTACGGTTAATACTAGGGATGTCCTAGTCCAATACTGGTATCGGTATTGGCTTGGATCAGACTGGGTGGATAGATCAGGCTGATACAGTGTCTAGAGCCCTCCACAGGCTGCTGTCTCTGTTAAAACCATGATTAATGACACAGAGAGTGTTTGTTTTACCTCTAAGATGTCTTCACGGAGAATTAAGAGTGAAAAACAAACTTTGAACAAATCGGAGGAGCAGAGCCTAATGCACTAACTTGTTCACATATGTTCAGTACCATGTGCTTCTGCGGGCTTCTCATCTTTTTACAGGCCTCAAACAGCCTACATGATCTGGAGAAACACACTGCTTTTAGAAATAAAACAACACCTAATGCCTCTGCCACTATGTCCTGAAGCTGCTGTACTGTGGAGGACTTTAATACATTATTTTACTATATTATAACACATTCTTAATTATAACATTCATCGTTTGTTATAATACTGTAAATATATATTTTAAGTCGACCTTTTTACATCTGCAAATCATTTGATTCAACTGGGGCAAAATTCAGCATGGAATCCTTCATTGTTTATAGAGACTCACCCTAAACTGTGTAAATAAAATCATTTAGAATGAGAGGATCAGATCGATACTCAAAAAAATTTGGATAGGGACATCCCTATTAGACTGTAGTTTAATTTCAGCCAGGTATCGAGTATCCGGTATCAGTATCAGGACTGAAACAGCTCGATCAGTGCATCCCCATAGAAGTCAAATACCCCGTCTTTAAGGAATGAATATCAGTGTGTAAAAGTCTGCATCTGTGCGTGTGTGTGTGTGTGTGTGCGTGTGTGTGTCTCACCCTCCTCTCTGGAGTAGTAGATGAGGTTCTCAGACATCTGCAGGTCTGGAGCTGGAGGGCTGGGCTCAGGAGCAGCACTGCCCCCTCCTCCCTGTGGGACACATGCACACGTTTACAGATTTACAGATTCTACATCTGCACAGCCACTGCAAATCAGATCACTCCAATAATCAGACAACCCAAGAATGAGACTGGATTTCTGGTGTGAGTTTTCAGAAATCTGACCATCAAAAACATCTGGTGACATGTGTCAGTGAATCATTTTTACTGTTGAATTTGGAAGACAAGGTACAATGATTTTTAAGTAGCTATTTCAATCTTCAACTTTTTCTTTCCCTTTTTCTCCTTGTCAAGCTCCCAAACTCCCATGGCAACAGAGTGGTTGGCTGCTCTTGTGGCTACATGCCTGACACACTGAGCACTTTCTGAGCTCTGTTTTTAACATCATATCATGGGCTATTAACCATGTATAATGCAGCATGTGCAGTTCAGGGGACAGAGGTGAGGAACCGTTTTGTGATTGTGTGAAAAGAGGTGTTTGTTTTTCCTGTATCTGTGGAGACCGTGCAAGAGTCTAGCTAAGCAGTAAGCTATAGACCACTGAGATACTACGGGATTTTTACACCAGATGTGGAGGAAGACTGCGGATGCTACGGGACACAGATGAAGCACACTTTTGTCCAGATGCCTGTTCTTCTCCTCAAACTGCCAAAACATGGAGTCTGCTGACCCTAGATCAGACCACAAACTACACTCCCTACACCGCAGAGTAATACTTTTTTTTATCCTTTATGTTAAAGTAAAAGTAAAAACGATCGTAGCTCTTTTCATTTTTTTTATTTTTCATTTTTTCATTACTTTCTACATTTTATATACAGAAAACATAAAATATATGAAGCAAAAATATGAAAAAAGTGAAATAACTCAACTAAATATTTGTTTTTATATGAATTAATCCAAATTCTCAGTAGTATTAAGTATCCACCCTTTGCTTTGTTGACAGTGCTGCAAACCCTTGGCCTTCTCCCAGTGAGCGTCATGAGGAAGTCTCTTGAAATGTTTCACTTCACATCTGTGTGTCAGGGTCAATTAATGTCAAGAGTGCAAAACAGTGTTCAAAACAATGGGTGGATATATTTTATTGATTGATTTATTTTGAGTTTATTATTTTTGCCATTCACAAGTTGTTGACAAAAAATAAAAAAACTCATGTCGGTAACGGAGGGAATGAAATATGCAGCACTTTTTGGGCAATAAATCCAAACAGTGATAACTCTTGGTTCTCACTTACATATCCTTAACAAACTGGTTTGAATATTTGCTTCATATAGTTTTCTACCATATGGTACAAGATTAGGTTGAAAAACCTCTGACTTTTTGACTCATGAGATTTTTTATTAAGAAAGGTCATGGTAACGGAGTTCAGTTTTATTCATTTTGTGTCTTATACATCTCAAAACTGCTCTAAGGTAAACATATCTGTTGCCTATATTAATTTTCTATTTGAAAGTTTTATGTAAATTATCATTAACAAAGTGGGTGGTTTTTTTTTGTTTTTTTTTGTAGACAAAGGCTGACTAAATGCATTGTGTAACTAAAAAATAATCTTAAATAATCGTAATTTCAAAATAGACCAAAACAATTGTGATATTTTTTTCCATAATTGAGCAGCTCTACTAAAAGTCTTTATGAAACCACTTCTAGCGCACATGATGCACATCGGGTTTAATCATGAGAACAGTGAAAATGTCAAATGTGTCGCATCAACGAGTTTCCTTCCATGGAACAAACAACAAAACTGTAGCTCTAACAAAATAATTTAGTAAAAGTTGCCAAAAAATACTCTTGGTGATATATCAATACAGCAGCCCATGATATCGATACTGTACCATCAACATGTATTAAACTGTACGATGCAAGTGCACGTTGGAAGTGAGCAGTTCTTTGGAGAAGTGAAACAAAAATCAGGTTAAGAGCGCCGTCGGAGTGACCTGTGAGCATAGTGACTGTTACCCTGCCAGTGTGTCATAGTGTTAGCCCGTTAGCCGTGTGCTTTATCAGCTTCTCACATGGAAACTCCCAACTTCCTGTTCTCTTGTATACCATGTCATATTAGCATATTCAGAGTTGTCAGAGTAATGACCTTCAGAACACTGATAACTAACTAAGAAAATGTATTGGGTTTGCAAAATAAAAGGTTTGGGATTTTTTTTCTGGCTTTTTATGGGCAAATATTTATAATTAAAGAAGGGGTATTACACTTCTGTGATAACTGTAATAACTGCGAACACATAACATATTTAGATCAACATGTTACAGCTATATTCACTGAGTCTCCCATCCTTTAGTTTAGTTTGCACCTTATGCACAGATACTTTTTGCGGACTTCTCTTCAGCTTTTAACAAGATGCAGCCAGATATTTAAATTGGGGCCTGATCAAGCAGAACTAAACAGCACGGCCAAAAATCATCTGATATAAAAATGTATTGAACAGATACATATGTACTCTAGTTTATGAAACTGTTGACCTTTTTTCTGTACCATTTTTGGTTCTAAAGTTCCATACGTTTTAAACAGACCATGTATGAAACATGGAACAAAAATTATTTCCCAATTTTCAAAGACCTGCAAATCATGTAAATAAATGGATGTATTTCATCATATCTTGTGTTATTCCATCTTTGAATTGTTGATGAAGGTACAGGATTTTTCAAAAAAATTTATTTAAAATGATAAAAAATTAGTTTGGAAGGACTGACATATTTTATAGAAATAGTTTCCTTTCATTTTGAAGTAATATTAAAGTATTCAGAAGAAAAAAGTGACAAATTATGCAAAATCAGGCACCTTCTACTTGCACAATTTTCCCTCCGCTACTTTTCACTCCGTTACCATGACCTTTCTTAATAAAAAATCTCAAAAAGTAAGAGGTTTTTCAACCTAATCTTGTACCATACGGTAGAAAACTATATGAAGCAAATATTCAAACCAGTTTGTTATTAACCATGTATAATGCAGCATGTGCAGTTCAGGGGACAGAGGTGAGGGACCGTTTTGTGATTGTGTGAAAAGAGGTGTTTGTTTTTCCTGTATCCATTGAGACCGTGCAAGAGCCTAGCTAAGCAGTAAGCTATAGACCACTGAGATACTACAGGATTTTTACACCAGATGTGGAGGAAGACTGCGGTTGCTACGGGACACAGATGAAGCACACTTTTGTCCAGACGCCTGTTCTTCTCCTCAAACTGCTCAAACAGTTTGTTAAGGATATGTAAGTGAGAACCGCTAGTTATCACTGTTTGGATTTATTGCCCCAAAAGTGCTGCATATTTCATTCCCTCCGTTACCGACATGAGTTTTTAAATTTTTTGTCAACAACTTGAAAGAATATCACAGGTTTAACTTGACCCTGTTGGAGTGTAACTCTTTCCTACATTCTGATACTTTACTTCTTTCAATAGTCCCTCTAGTTTCTCAATAAGAGACATTTGAATGTCAAAAATCTGCCCCTGTTTCCCTCCGTTACCACTTGACCGGGTCTACCTGATCAACTTTTATTGCTACTTTTAAACTTCTTAACCCTCCGCACACAGAGAGTCCTGGTGAATGGGGAAATGTCCACTCCCATCGTTTCAAACATTGGCCTCCCCCGGGGTTGTGTTTTGTCTCCGCTACTTTATATTCTGCATACAGATAGTTGTAGGTCTGCAAAGTTTTCAGATGACCCTGCCCTCCTCTCTCTCCTGCAGGAAGCAAACTCAGACCACGGCCAAGCTCTACCTGCTTTCACTGAAAGGTGTGATAACAACCACCTGGACCTAAATGTAGCTAAAACCAATGAAATTATTGTGGACTTCCGGAAAAAAGTTCACAGCTCAATAGCCAGCTCCATCCACGGGAAAGTAGTAGAAATGTTGGACTCCTATAAGTATTTGGGAACTGTGTTTGATTCCTCCCTAAGGTTTGATAAGAACACTGAGCAAATGATCAAACGAGGACAAGAGCGGGTTCACTTGATGCGGAAGCTCAGCTCTTTTAATGTGTCCCCTAACATTTGAAATCATTTTTATTGTTTCTTTATCGAAAGTTTGCTGACCTTTTCTTTTATTTGTTGGTTTTATGGATTATCTGTTAAGGACAAGAACCAGATTGTAAAAGTGTGCGGTAAAATCAGTGGTGTTCAGTTGGAGGATTTGGCCTTTGTGTGGAGACAACTGGTGCTCCAAAAGACTAAAGTCATACTGTTGTGCACTCACAGTTCATGAGCACAGCAAAAGACATTCACCCCACAGCAAAAGACTAATCTCTACGCCAAATCTTTTATTCCTTCTGCCATAAAACTTTTAAATGGAAAGTGAATTTGCTACTGTGTCCCTGATGCTCTGAGGTTTGAACGTACGGCATCTGTTTTTCTTTTTCTTTTATTATTTGTGGTTTGTGCACAACCAGAGATGTGCGAATTAATAAAGTTGTTGACTGATTGATTGATTATGCTAAGTCGCTCCCCCTTCAGAGCAATATCACAACACAATCAGGGTACGTCCTGGAAATGAAACCACTGCACATCGCAGCAGGTTTGTCAAGTTGCTGTGTACAGATTTGTATTCTGATTTTGTACATTTATGGACGGAGCGTTGCATAGAATCTCACAGTTAACCGTAAAGAGGGTTCAAATGGGGCGGGAGAGATCGCTAGATTATTCAAATATGCACGGATGACACCTAAAGCCTCCGTGTTTTTGACGAGGAAACAGTGTTATAACAGGGCAAGACGCTAAACAAAAATAAACTTTGTAAAATACCCCTTCTTTAAATATTTCTATTAAAAAAAATATTTAAACTGATTTTTTATGATAGATTAGATAGACTGACAGTAGATTGATTTGATGACGATAATCAGATTATGTTTTTTGGTCCTGCTTGAGAGTGATAGAACTTTAGTTAGAACTAGAACTGTTGGTGCTTGTCTATGCCAAAATATCTGTGGAAATGTCAGCTTCATAAATCTGCTCCATCACCAAATCTTCAACCAACAAGGTGCACAGAGACAAAACTTTTTCCATGAAGAATTTACCCAGAACTATCACGGTAAGAAAGACAAAAAGGCAAACAACAACGACGCATTAGTGAACTATGCCTGAGCAAAACTAACTTTATGGTCATGAATAAAACGGAAGTAATAAGTAATTTATTACTAAGTAACTTGTTAATTCATTTGTGCAGTTTGAATGCTAAAGATGTTCACAGAATACATATCTAGCCTGCACCTGCACAAATCTCTCTGTCTATACTAATATCTACATCAGACACGTTAAACTCAGGCCCGGGGGTTAAATTTGGCCAGCGACATAATTATATTTGGCCCGCAAGATCATGTCAAATATGTATTGGAGCTGGCCCGTCGGCTACAGATAGACTAAAGAGACATTATTTATTTAAAAATGTGTTATTGTATTATGTGATGCTTGTTCTGGATTCAATGTTTAAACAAAACTATTATTAAACATTTATTTTAATAAGAAAAGGTTTAACATTACATATCTCAAAAGAAGAGAAAACATGCAAAAAACATTTAAAAATATATTTAAAAAAATTATAGTTTAGCCCATGACTTAGTCCCAGTTTTTAATTTAGAGTTTGACACCCCTGATCTACATCCTGAAATCGATTTTTAATTTTAATTCTAGAATCAGTCCGAGTGAACAAGTTACTTATGTTTTATTCATGACCATAAGGTGAGTTTTGCTCAGGAGTAGTTCTCTAATGTGTCATCATTGTTCGCCTTTACGTTTTCATCTTTCTTACCTTCATAGTTGTAGATAAATTCATGGAACCATAACTGTTGCAGGGCACTGTCTTTTTCGTCTCAAACGCTCGCATAAACCTGCTCTACCTGATCCTGGTGTTTAGCCCCTATAACTGCAGGCCTCAATGAGCTTCATTTGACTGGAGCTGAACACTGAGGTGACGTCACACTCCTTTAGTCCACTTCTTCATACAGTCTATGGCTCAAGCATGAGTGGTGGGAGCAGCGTTACCTGGAAGGCGATGTCACACATGGTGTCCATCCACTCTTTGGCCGTGGCTCTCTCCGCACAGAACACGTGCGTTTTGTCATTGGTCTCCACACAGAAGGCGGACATGTTGTCTTTGGGGCAGTTCTCGGTGAGCGCGGGCAGGATGGAGATGCACTCGGACAGACGGATGATCTTCTTGTCCAGTTTTCGAGTCTTCTCATTGGCCCCCGAGCCTCCCGAGAAGCCGCCCCCAGACCCCGACGAATCGAAGAACTCGAGGCGGGCGATGCCATTCTGACTGGCAGGATAAAGGACGAACCAGTTCTTCTTCCATTTCTGAGGACACAAAGGAGCAGAGATGTTAGATCATCAGGGAAAGTACATTGATTCTCCCATGAATCACATTTTAATCCTGAGGTCTACAACCATTCTTCTAGTTTAAAATGTACACTAATAGAAAATAAAAACCATACTCATGGAAATAAGATAAGATAATCCTTTATTGGCCCCCATGGGAGAAATTTGTCTTGGGACAGAGGGTCACATGCTTTAACACAAAGATAAATAAAAGTATAAATAAAAAGGAGACCAAGTATGACCACAAGGGATGCACCAACAAGACATTTAAGTCACTCTATACAGACAAGCTCTTCAGTCTTGTATTCTTTTAATAATTGCAAACTCCCTAAGCCTATGTGTAGAGTGATCAGATGTTCCTGTTTACCCGGGACAGTCCCACTTTTGAGCCCTGTGTCCTCTGTCTCAGCAGATTTATACAAAACCACTGATATGTCCCAGTTTTATACAAGAAATGTCCCAGGTGTCCCTGTATTTGACCAATTTGACTTTTGTCAAAAGTAAAGAGAGGCATACATTGTCACTTGTTGAGTTAAAATACAGAAAAGCTGCTGAAAAATGACCAAAACACAAAGAAAATGCGACTATACTGACTCACGTGTTAGTCATGAGTGGGCCGAGAGCAGAACAATTTTCCTTAATTATGCACTAGTTTCAAATTTTTATTGTTGCCAACCACCACAAACCGGGGGGTGTCCCAGTTTTTAATTTTGAAAATCTAGTCACTCTGCCTCTGTGCAGTTTTGATTGCACATTGTAGAAAGTTAAATCAATACTTGAAAACATTCTTTAAGGAGCTAGATTTGTTGTGTTGATACTTTGCAGAGGCATCACACTTCTGCATCTCTACGGAGGAATGTTCAGTAATTACATTTTTTTAAAAGCACAAACCACCTCACTCTGTCAGATTGTGTTACAATAAATATTAAGTCTACCAAGTCTCAGATAGAGCAGTGCTTATAGTATAAATACTTGGGGTGTAACGATAGCCAATGCTCATAGTACGATGTTATCACGATATGCATCTCTCGGTACGATATGTATTGCGATATTTTGAAGAGGCTGATATAATTGTAGATGGGCCACTTTTTTTGCTTTTAAAATACCTTGAAGAGATTTTGGTGTGAATTATTTCTGTCATAATCCCCAAAATTCAAGTAAAAAACATATTTCTTCATGTTGTCTGCACTGAAATGAATCATGGGATACGTAGTTGCCAGTGGCGGATCGTGCATTTCACACCTAGGCCTTCAGTAGTGCTCCGTCTGAAATAATTCACTCCTCAAGAACTATTTTATTGTTATAAAAGCATCTTGTTCTACAGAAACACAGTATAAAGAGCCGTGGAGATTCTGTGCACAGAGAAGTGAGGAGAGGGGTGTGTGGTGCACGGAGAAGAAGTGAGGAGCTCCGGGCTGCTAAACCAGAACTAAACCAGGACTAAACCAGGACTGTTGTCAGGACTGGCAGGAAAGTGTACCCGCATAGACTCACGGGGCTTGGCTCCACACCGCGCAGGGCTCAGTGCAGCTGTCGCCCGATGGCACTTTGCAGACACCCTGCTCCGTTGTTTCGGGGGTTCTCTCTCCCGCTCTCTCTCAAGTCCAAGATTAATCCTGATTTAGACCTGGTTTAGTCCTGGTTTAGTCCTGATTTAGACCTGGTTTAGTCCTGGTCCCGCTACAGATGCAGTTTGCTGCTTTTGGCTGGTTCGCTCTCTCACTGTCCAGTCACCGGGTCTGAATCCGGTGACGTCGTACGCCTGCCTGTGAAGACCTCAGGGACACTTCGTGTCTGACTCTGCCTAGCAACAAGTGACGGCTGAAATGTGATTAGTCAAATGCTTTAATATGAAAATACATGTGTGGAAGCAGCACAACCATCGGAAAAACTCTGAAAGGAAGCGGACAGAACATTTGGAATTATTTAATAATAATATAATTACATCAGTCTGTGATTCAGATATTTTTTTAGACCAGCAGAGAAGGACTTGCAGACCCTGACGCTGAACCACTGGTAGTTCCCGATGTTTATTTGCTATTGCTAGTATAAAACCATGCATTTAAGCAAAGGAACTTGTGAGTCGATATATTGTGATGGTCTATGATATTACTGTGAGACTTTTGATGATACAATATCACAGTATTTCGGTTATTATTACATGCCTAATAAATACCACACTTGTAGCCAATGGAAAGACATTTCCATGGAAACAAGTGGGAGCAGACCCTCCTCCAAGACAAATAAGGGTCAGGTTTGTGAAGATGCAAGTCAAGCCCATTCAGCGTGAAGGAGCAGGTTTTCCATTATAAAAAAAAAATAAAAAATAAATAAAAAATCTATTGAGAACATTTTGTCCATGATGGCTGCAAGGTAAGAGTTATGGAATTGCCTCTACATATATAAACCATTACATTTGTCAAACTAGGAAAAACAGGGGGATATAAGCTCTATTCACACTTACGTCACAAAAGAGGAAGACATTTGAAAAAAATGAGATTACAACTTCTGGTGTAGTTCCCGACACTGGGCTGTGATCAAACCCACGGAAGTAAATGTGATCAGCGGCCCCCTCATCTCTTCTAATCACATGTACCCAGTGCACTCGGAGTTGTGTGTCAGTGAGGAAATGATGAAAAAGGAGGTGTGGTTGTAATTGTTGATTAGCAGAACATAACAATTTTCCTAGATTTTGTCAAACTTACTACCGAGAACAGAGACCGCAGGAAGTTGTCATCGCATGTTTCCAAACATCTACCTGGTTTGTGATGTAAGCCTGAATAGAGCCTATTAGTAAAACCTACAATCAGTGTTGGGAAGGTTACTTTTAAAATGTAATCCCCTACAGATTACAGATTACATACCCCAAAATGTAGTTTGTAACGTAATCCATTAAATTACTTAAGGTGAGTAATGTAATCTGAATACTTTGGATTACTTGGTTTGCTGTAGAGAAACAAAGACGAGGACATCATAACGTAAGATGTTTTGTCTGCTAAAAGAAAATAAAAAGCCCAGACTTTACTCAACCAAATTAAAAAATATTATTGATAGAAGACGAGGAGACACGTCCACGCAGCAGGATTTAAACCTGTTAAATCCTGTTTGAGATGTAGTTTAGACCTGATTTTAGTCTTGGTTTAGTCCTGGTTTAGTCCTGGTTTAGACCTGGTTTAGTCCTGGTTTAGTCCTGGTTTAGACCTGGTTTAGACCTGGTTTAGACCCGGTTTAGTCCTGGTTTAGTCCTGGTTTAGACCTGGTTTTAGACCTGGTTTATACCTGGTTTAGACCTGTTTTTTGTTAAGAAAACAAACAAACAAAAAAAAGGGGGTATAGCCCAAAATGTGAAAACAGTAAAATACCTCTATCTAATCCATTTATTTCAATCAAGTAACTGTAATCCAATTACCACTCATTGAAACAGTAACTGTAACTGAATACAGTTACTCATAATTTGTACTCTGATTACGTAACTTTGGTACATGTAATCTGTTACTCCCCAACACTGCCTAAAATATAATTATGTTGACTATGGTTTAGGGACATGGTTAGTCTAAGTGTCACAGTTCTGCCTTTTGTTTACATGCTTATTCTAGGTACGCTGCCACTCATAGACTTTTTTCACAACAGCCCCGCTGTAGGGTTGCGGAACTTCTGGTTAATGGTTTTCTAGCGCAAAATATCTGTGGAAATGTCTCGCATAATTTCCACCAGTTTCATAAATCTGCCCTAACATTAAAACTTCAACCAACAAGATCCACAAAGGTTAAACATTCTAACATGAAGAATTTATCTACAACTATCAAGGGAAGAAAGACAAAAACTTAAAGGTGAACAACGATGACGCATTAGTGACACACTGAACAAAACTAATGTTATGGTCATGAATAAAAGAGAAGTAACTTGTTAACTCAGACTGATTCTAGAATTAAAATTAAAAAATTTCATCATGTCCATATTAGCATAAATAGATAGATTTATACGTCATCTGTGAACATCTGTAGCGTATACACTGCACAAATCTCTATCTATGCTAATATCTACATCATGAAATCAATTTAAAATGTAAATTCTAGAATCAGTCTGAGTTAAGTTACTTAATAATGAATTACTTATTACTTACGTTATTCATTACCATAACGTTACTTTTGCTCAGTAGTTGTTCGCCTTTAAGATTTCGCCTTTTGTACCGTGATAGTTGTGGATAAATTCTTCATGTTAGAATGTTTATCCTTTGTGAACCTTGTTGGATGAAGATTTGGTGATGGGGCAGATTTATGAAGCTGGTGGAAAATGTGCTAGACGTTTCATTTCACTTTATCATTTCATTTCATTTGAATTGAAAACCTTTAACCGGAAGTTCCTCTAGAGGGACTGTTGTGAAAAAAGTCTATTGCCAAAGCGTTCCGGGGCAGTCTATATATCCTCCCTCTGTTCATTCAGTCTCTGCTAAACTGTTGACCAGTCAAGAGAGACACTCAAGCTCTGTATCCAAAACCATGTATCTGAAATCTGTTGTTCGCAATTTGTGCAATTCTGCATTATTCCCTGTTTGAAGTACCTGTTTCTGAGTTTATTCCTAGCCTGTTTTCTAATTAAAGGGCCCATCTCAGGCAAAATAACTCATTTCACATTGTATTTTCTGCACATAAACAAGCACAATTTGGGTTTTGGAACATCCGTTACACAATAGTTCTGAAATCTTACTGATTTCTTGGAGACACAGTCCAGGTACTATGAAAGACCGACTATTGCTCATCCCCCCGCCCGTCCTGAGAAAGCACAGGCTCCGCCCTCCAAACGTGACTTAGGCGACGAGTGAGCCGCCCTTCCTAGGCTCATCTCAGGGAGGGAGGGGGAGACAGGCCCTGATAGTGGCAGGAATAAACTTTTATTCATCATGGCGATACAGCGCGTTCAGCCGCATGTGTTGGACCCGGAATCGGACGAGGACTTTGAGGTGCACGAAGCTGAACATT